AGACATTTGGATCACATTACCTGCGACGTGGTGAGGATGACCTTGCTCTGCTTCTTATCCGTACCGGTAATGATCATCAAGCAATTAACGGCGGGCGTATAACTTAAAATACTGCTATATTCGTAAGTACATAGGGCGTTCCTGGAACGGTGTTCCAGAAGATGTAGACCCTGCTGATCGACGGCCAGCCAGAGGACACGAGGCCAATTCGAAGTGAACGATTGCATCACGTCGAAGATCGTCGCGCGATGCAACGGCCACGACTGGATCAGATTTAGGAAAGCCTTCTTCGCCTCCGGCGGCGTCATTCCGCGCAGGGATTGATGGTGCTGGCGCACACCATCCACGCACAGGCACGGCACCAGTCTCGCTGATAGGCAGTGACTCGATATCGTTCGATAATCCGGTTCTAATATCGTTTCCAGACAGTCGCCCAATTCCAACTGCGCTTGCAAAGCCGTCAGCATCATCTGCAAGTAACATTATAGTCTCGTGAAATTCTTACAATAGAATACAGTAATTATATATGCGAGAAATATATACTAAATTCTACGTGAAATCAAGTAAAATAAAAGAGAAGTTAAATGCAATTTTATATAAAAAGAAACCATAAAAGATTAGAATCTTATAAATTACTGATTTTTTAGTCATTTTATTTTAATACACTTTGTATGTAAAATAATTAGCCAATTTTGAATTATATGTGTAAAGAAATCATATAGTTACATTTAAAATAATTCTATTTAAAATCAAAAATTTTTTTTAATCTTTTCGTTTCTCATATAATTCCATTAAACAAGATGTTTCAAACTAACGTTGATATATAAAAAAACACTAAAAAGCATATTTGCATGCTTCATGCATAATTGATTTCCTCTTTTCACATTCTTTTATTTAAAATACTTCTCAAAATGCTTTGTTTTTGGTAAACAATTTTTAAAGATGCTGTTTCTTTTTCTCACTGTAAATTATGAAAATTAAACGTAGAAATCCGTTGTTGCAACGGATACTCACAGCTTCTTTCTCGGTGATCGGGAACCGATCGGCTCGCAAGTCGTGCAGCACTTGATGATACAATAACTCCTTTTCCACGGGGTCATCCAAGTTCATATATTGATCCAAGAACAAATGTTTCTTGAATAGGAAGAGGTGATGCGCATGCTTGCGTGCCTGCTGACCCTGCTGCGACGCCCTGTACCGTTCCCACTTGGACATAACGTCGGCTATCTTCTCTTCAGGAATCAGCGATCGCTCGGTCGGCCCCAACACCTCGTAAATCGCATAGCCTGATAAAGGATAAAAGAACAGCGATAAAAATTAATCAAATAAATTTAGGACAAGTTGAAATAAATTTAAATGTAGATCTACAATATTTTCACAATTGAAGATGTCAATATTTAATTAGAGCACGTGATATTGTAACTCTGGCGGTCAGAAATCCATCAAAGAAGATTTAGAGCAATGATACGGGAAAATAAAAACACCGAGCCATACCCATAGCAGTCTCCTCAAGCCCCATCTTCGCCTTTATGATCTCCATGACGTCTCTGGCAGTCGCAGATGGATGAAACTCAACGGCGTGGTATTGACCGTCCATAAAGTGGAATCTCGCGTAAATCGGCCGGCGATTAATGGTGCACATGATCTCCTCGCGACTCGGCGGCCACTGCCGCCTACGAGTGCCCTGAGTCTTGTAAAGGCACTTTTCCGCGAACCTCGCGTACTTGCCCTCCTCGGTGACGTAATCGCTGGCGCATCGTTTCAGGTGTGCGATCAAGTACTTGCGTATGGTCTTCTGAGGCGGCAGGATCACGGAACACGCGAGCGAGAGTAATGCCCAGTGTCGCAGATTGACACGATTATTAGGATCCGGGTGATCGGTGGTTTGCTTGATCAGCTGGAGGTACAACTCGCCTAGCAGGTTCTCCTTTCGTATGCAACGCTCCATCACGGTTTGTATGAGATTCACGTGCTCGTCCTCGATCCTACGCACCGTGTCCCCGTTCTGGCCGAGTCCAGCGTAAGTTAGAATCAACTGGAAGATATTTAGAGCCACCTGCTCGTCGGGATCGGGCAGCTTCGACAGACTCTGCGGTATCTGTTGCCTGCTGAACGCCCAGTAAGCATACGGGAAACCCTTGTAAGTCTCACCGTGATCGGCACTTCCGTGTTCCTGCCTGAGCTTTTCTATCCGGTGCTTCGACAATCTCCTGAGTGTATTCCGGAGGAAACCACCGCCGGAATCCTGCGGTTTCCTGAGGATTTCCGAGTCGACTAGAGTTCGCCGGCAGTTGACCAGATTATGGTAGAGCCGGATGCGATCCTCGTTGGTGATACACTTGAGCTTCTTCGTGGGTATCTCGTTCTCCGTGATCCAACCCGCCAGCGCCGAGCAGTAACTGACGATCAGACTGCCTATCTCGTTCTTCTGCAGGGTCTCGAAAACGAAGCACTTGTGCGAACTGTCGGGATTGTGTCGTAGCAGCGAGAGCGTGATGAACGAGTCACTCGGGTCCAGCATGATGCTCTCAACGTCCTGATAACGATACTCGGACAGGACGAATTTGTCATCCGGCTTGATTAGCATCAGACCGTCGCAATTGATGCCGAGAATCAATTGATTGCCATAAGACCAATATCCGCGATAAGTCACGTTGAACATCGTTGTGCCGTAAAGCGGGTATTGCATAACGCAGGACAGATAGAGGACTTTGGCAGCGAGCTCTTTGCGTCCGGCACCGTATTGTCGGTGTGCTTGCGCTATAATCGGCACCCAAACGTCGTCGCCGCGAGCCCGACTGATTCTGTACGGCAGAAAGCTGTCCACTTCGCTGTAATAATCCAGTCTGTCGTTATCCTTAGGATCGCCGAGGGACACCTGGGCTTGCAATCCTGCCAATTGTAATGCCACTTTCTCGGATACCGGAAAATCGTCGCACTAAAAAAGATAGATGACCATAAGAATAAAAACATAAACAATTAATTTGTTATAATAAAACATTGTATGTCTTTGTACCTTTACGACATTGTAGACCGCCTGCGCGTATAACATATTAACTTCCACAGGGTCCTGCGAGATCTCCCTTGGATTACGGAATAATCTTCGTTTGAAGACAAAACGATTGTCGCCGCTACCCAAAGTAGTGTTGTTCCCGCGTCGCAGCGTTGAGAATGTCGACTGTGCCGTATTCAATTTGCATTGTTTCCTGCAGTTAAAGATGCGTTATTATTTTACATAATAATTCTATGTAAATAATACACTTTACGTAAATAATTTACACTTACATTTCCCACGCGGCAATCACGTCGTACAGGTAATCGTGGGCCCGCACATGCTCCTCTCCATCCGGTCTGCTTTGATAAATGGCCCAACCCTCCAGCGATCGAAGACCCAACTTCTCGCCTAGTTTGGCGACGGCGTCAGCGGCCGTATCGGTCGGATGTACATCGATCGCTTTCGTTCTTCCGTCCAGGAAGAAGAACCTGCATACTATGGTGCCCAGTCTTCTCATAGCAGCGATCTCCACCGTGGACGGTGGATGTTGCCGGCAAGATACCTTCGTGTTCTTGCAGTTGTCTACGCACCACTGCACATACTGCCTCAGTTTGCCCTCGAGGGCAAGATTCTTCCTCAGGAAAGAGACAAAATACTTGTAAAGTAGCTTGCTCGGTTGGAAGGCGACGATCGCCAGGCACAGCAATAGCCATACGCGTTCTGCCCACTCGGCATTAGGATTGTTCGTCGCTTGACGCATGCATTGCACGTAGATTTCATCTCTTAACTCCTCCCGCTCGATCCCGTAAGCGATGATACTCTGAATCGTAGCTATCTCCTGGTCCAGCTTCATCTCACCGCGAATGTACTTACACAAGTCCTGCAAAAGGAATATAATATGATTATACATAACTCTAATACAAATCAACGAAAAAAAACTTCTTTAAAGAAAAAACTTTTCTATATTTTTTACAATGTTAACTACAATTCTAGCGTCAAAGATGATTCTATATATCGAGTAATAATTTTGCGAAATTTAAGATCGAAGGTGTAAAACGAAGTTAATTCAATTTAAAATTAGAAGACATTTCAATTATAAATTGTGAACAATAATTTTTCTTTTTTTTTTTAATTTTCTGTAAATGTCTAATTAATCCGGACGTACCCTGAATACGGAACACGCAACATTCACGTTATCGGGATCGTACATATGAATATGCGAGTTCGGGATGCTGGACCCTTTGTAGTACGTGACCATCTCGTACTTCGGAATGAACTCGATGCTCTTGCCGCGCGACTTCCTCGTCAACGTGGCCATTATGGTGCCCTCCGGCGAACGTTCGTGGCTGTTGAAGTAGTTCTGCGCGAACTCTACGATATCGTGATAGGTCGCCTCGTTCTCCTGCTCCTTCTTGTCCTCGAGCTCCTGCAGTTTGCGCTCCACGCGGCACTTGCGCCGCTGCTCGCGCTCCACCGGCAGCTGCTGCGCCGCCTGCGACTGCGGCTGTGGCTGATCGTGGCCGTTCTGCTGTGCCTGAGGTATCGTCTGATGATGGTGATGGTGATGGTGAGCGTGATGGTGACCGGAGCTTCTGGATTCCGGCCTGGATGGCGGACTACCGGCGATTTCTTTGGTCATTTTGCCGCCTGGCGGAGGCGGTGGCGGTGATCCGCAGGTCTCACCGTTCAGCATCTGGCCCGGACTACCGCCGTTATGGACGACCGGACTACCGGGATCGTTCGCCTCCCGCGGCAACACCGACTCGTAAATCGGCTCGCCGTTGTCGTCTGACGAATCGCCATTCATAGCTAAGGGCGGCGCCGGGGGTGGCGGCGGTGGTGGCGGTTCCGTGGGTTCCGGAAGACTCGGTTGACCAAGTTTGCTGCTGCTCAAGCTATTCGTGCATGGCATTCGCTGCTGCTGTTGCGCTTCCTGCCCGTTAATGGGAGAAGCGACCTTTGACTCAGCCTTGGCATTCATTTCCATCTCTTGTTGAATAACGGTCTCTAATTCTACGTCAAGGTCCTCCACCAACTCGTCCATCTGTTCCCCGATTTCGTCGATAATCTGATTGCTCTTAGTTGATTGTACATCGGATAGGAAGGAGAATAGATTGTCAAGGTCCACCGATTGCAAATCCGTAGTAGCCATCTTCGAGTTCATCTGCTCGGCCATCTGCGACAGCGCGTCGATTTCTTCTTGCACTCTCCTGCAAAATTGAAAAAAAAAAAAAATTGAAATGCAGGTCGATCAAATTTTCTCCAAGAGTGCAGATGCTGGTGTTACGAGCAAAGTGAATTTCATGTAATGCTGGCGTGTAACAATATTACAGGCATTCGATGCAATAAGCCGAAAAAAATGCCTTAGAAAATAGAGAGATACAAGTCAAGAATAAATTTTAGCTACTCTCTGTAATCTCTAGAATAATTTAATATTTGCGTTATTTATATGTGTGCTAACTACGGTAGTTTTATGCTTCTCTTGATATATAAATATTCAAAGATTATATAATATTTTGTATCATGTACAATAATATTTATATCTTAAAGTTTCGTGCTTCACGCCGTTCTTCCATTCAACTTCGCAATTGTAAACATGTGATTTTCTATGTAGCGTTTAATATCACAATGGTGTTTAGTATAAAACCATGCCCGGGTGTATCAAACGAGGAAGCGATAACGCCCGCACACGTTTGAACCACACGCGATGATACTTAGCATGCAACGAGTGCATGCCGTCATATACACGTCACACGATCCTTTCCGTCGTTGGACTTACCCAGATTCCATCTCGGCAATACCATCGTACTGCGCGCTACAAAAGGAACACAAACGGAAACGATTAACGCATACAATCAATCGGCACGCATAACTAATCGGTTCCATCGGTTATCTTACACGAGGATTGCCACACAAGCAAGGTTCATGGAAATTAAGAAATTCGAACGGGATTGATCTAGCATACCTCTGGCACTCCTCCAACGCCTTCTTGTCCTCCATCATCCTTCGTTCTTCCTCCAATCGCTCCCTCTTTCTCATTTCCTCGTCGACTCGTCGCATTTCTCGCAGAGCCGCGGCTACTTCCCTCGCGAAGACACCTCGCAAATGACTCTGGATTACTACAGCTGCCCTGCGTTTCCTAATGAACATTATTCGCAGCTTCCAACCGCGGTAAGCATGTTGCACCTTCAGTGACGCCTCCCTTATACGCTTGTACTCTATTGGAACAAGAAATGTTTTTTAATTACAATATAATTTCCAAACAAATAAAAATCTGTTATTATTCCGAATAAACTAAAAGAATATAACACAATTCAACGAAAGATAATTTTATCTTTACAAATTTAGGATATATATTTCTATTCTACTAAAAAAGAGGCCGTACCTCGCCGTTTGACGTATCCTCGCCAAATCTTCTGTATCACTATGGCGTTACGCGTTATTATCTGGTTCCTGGAATCTTCCAGAGGCTCGTGCACGTAACTCCGTAAGAACACCTTCGTCCGGCCAATCTGCCATTCAGTTTGCGGTATACCTTGCCTACCAATCAGACTTCTAACCGCTTCCTTCTCGTTGGAGGACAGCGAGGATCGGCTCTTGTCCAGGCAACGGTATCTCGCAACGAAATCGTGGAACGACATGTGTATCGGGAAGCCCTCCTTGCGTATGCGTATGATATCGAGCATACCGAGATACTTAAGTTGGTCCATAACGAGCTTCTCGTCGTAGTTATTGGCCATCTTCTCCATGTTCGGCTTGATACAACGCGCGTACCACGGCGTCGTCGCCTGCAGCACGTCTACCAGGGCCTGCAACTGGTGCCGGAACGAGTCGCAGAGGGTCGGCTTGCCTTTGGACGTTCCTCGGGACATCGTGGTGGTTGTGCCGCCGGTCGCACGAGCGACGGTACATCCCAATAGGTCCTGATAGACGCTGATCTCCTGTACGAATTCATTCGTGCTCCTGGACATGAAGTCGAAGAACACGTCCTGCTGCACGTCCCGATTCTTGTCGACAAAACCTTCGACGGTATACGTCACGCAGCCGGCGTAGTGCTTGACCCCGAATTCCGTCTCCCATTTCCGTCGGTCATCTCCCTTCACGTAGCACGGATGGTTCTCAAATTCAGCGTGTAGGTTCGTCAAGTAGGCTAGATCCGAGCCCTTCGGCATATGGCACTGCTCGGTGAGTAACTTAAGAACACATCGCGGGGGCTTTTCGATCAGCTCCAGGCACATGGTGTTGTCCGTGAACGTGATGTGGGAGTACTGGATCTCCTCTTGGTGATACTGAACATTCATTCGATATTCATTTAGTCATTTATTCATTTATAGTAAGCCTGCGTTCGTTTATTCCCATTGGGGGCCATTGGGGAAAATAAAATATATAATACATGTAACGTGTATCATAGATTTTATTTTCCCAATGTAAGTAAGCGAACGCAGACTAAATAAACCGTGATAAAACACAATAAAAAACGAAGGAGGATAGATTAAAGTTCTAAGATTCAGACAAAAGATTCGAACAAACTGAATAAACAGTTTGAAATAAAAATGTTCCTTAATTTAAATTCAAATAATTCAAGTTAGAACATTACGGAAAATTAAAAAAAAATAGCTATTGCAAGAAAACAGAGATAAACCGCTTTTGCTTGTTTCATTTTAGATCTTTAGATCTAAAAGTTAAATTGAATACTTAAATTCTGACAAACCGAACAATTTAAGATTCTAAAAACTCGTAGTGTTCAAATTGATCACATAAAAATTCTGAGCACTGAAATAAGCTTACGAGTTCCTGCTCCAACGCGAAGACGTAGTGATTGAAGAACTTGTGCAGCTTCTCGTTCGTGTAGTTGATGCAGAGCTGCTCGAAGCTGTTCAGCGTGAAGTTCTCGAATCCAAAGATATCGAGAACCCCGAGGAACCGCGAGATATCCTGGCCCGGGTTCGTGCAGTTGTTGATGTGGTTGATAAGCCAAACGAAGGTGCGGGAGTAGAGTGCTTTTGCCATCGCGTGCCTATTCTCCCGGGCCTCCTGCACCTTCAGCGGGATTTCCGTGATATTACCGCGAACATTTATTTGTCGTATCAGCACCACTTTGGTGAGATCCTCCACCTGGAGACCCAGTAGCGGCGCGACCGTGTCGACTATGTCACCGTCCTCCTTCGACAACTCGCATCTCTCGCCGTCGACGTCCTCGAAGCTTAAATTCCCGAGCCACAAGATGGCCGATAGAACCCGGAAGATGCCTTCGCACATTTCCGGCGCGATCTACACGGAAGACAGGTAATAATTACTTGACAATAATAGGAATAATACCGCGCGAAATGTATATATATTCTCCTTCTCGGGCAGGAAAATACCTGAAGCACATTGAAGGCGAGCCTGAGAGAGTCGAGCCTTTTAGAGTCGGAAATTCCATCGATCTTCACGCAGCCGGACTGATTGAGATATTTGTAGTGGCTGGCCGGCCTCAGCTTATATTGCTCCGCGAATTCCTTGTCCCTCGTGCCGGCCTCGACCAGCTGGTAGAACACGTGGTAATTGCGCTCCCCGGGGCTCTGAAAGGTGATACGACTCTGCTCCAGCAGGTAGTCCTGGATGATGCAGCCCTTGATCATCCACTTGCTGTCGAAGCACACCTGCATAAACTTGCCGAAGCGCGAGCTGTTGTCGTTTCGCACGGTTTTCGCGTTGCCTGTTTTAACGCGAATGAAAAATTAAACTCTGTCGTACTCTCCGAACGTCGGGGGAGAAATTTCAAAATCTCGCAAGTCAAATATTCTTTAAAAATGTAAAAGTCTCACGAGTATTGTTGCGTCAAGAGCATTTCTCTTTAATTTCGTTTATAAATTATGTATGCTTTATAATGCATTTTTAAGAGGGAGGTGTATTTTATTGGAACTACCTCAATTTGAATATGCAGGACAGGAGAAAGAGGGATTTTTCCAGGTTCATTTAAATGCGAGACACGGGCTAAACACGACTGTGACGAAGACAAACAATTCCGAGAATAAGATAGATTATAAAAAGGCATTATATTTCATGCAGGTGAATGAACGACGCCAGTCTGATCTGTTTTATTCATAAAACCTCTTTGCCTCGTGACCTACATTCGTTTCCCCCTCGTCGTCGCTGCATTTAACACCTGAGTTGCTGCTGCCGCGCTCGTATACCTAGACTTCGATTAATGAATCGCGGTTGTTTACTTCTGAACGCACGATTAAGATCTACTCTATCGTCTCCGTTTATCTTTGCTCTGGTCGTAAAGCCAATTCTTGTTTAACTGTCTGTTACCGTAACGCGGTGTAAATGGTATAAATTCAATCCCGACGGAGATAAGTTGTTCCTGGAGATAGTCAATTTATTTTTAACCCTTAGTTCTTTTTCTGACATTTGACATTCCAGTCGTTCCTATATAATAAATGAGTTTACATATTTTCACGAGTTTTCGAACTATACATAGATTTCTCGACCCTGAGATCAATTATATATCCAATTTTATAATAGATATATATTTTCAGTATCAGATATCTAATCCAAGTCTAAGATTATAAACGCACTTAATAATGACTTCGTAGATCTGGTATCAAACAAGTCTAGTAGTAAAAAGTATTTTACATCTCTCTATTTATTACGAAAATCAAGAACATTATAACGTTATCCTTCTTTATTATAATTGTGTTGTCTAAATTTATTACACTAATCATGTCATTCAAATTTCATCACAGCGATTAAGAAATTATTTCATCATAGTAATTAGGGAATCGCTATTGGATTAATTTGATCTAATTAAAAGATAAAATCCATCCAATGTGGACCGAAGCAGAGGGTTTTAATTTTATCATGACCATTTTCTAACAAAATTAATAATAGATGCAGCAAAGATGTGTAATCTCGAAATTACGAGCGCGAGCGTGCTAATTTGAGACCGGGATGTTATTAACGGATAATTACCAAACGCCTCGAGGATGGTGTTGGCCTCCAGAATCTGCTGTTCCACCCACGTGTCGACGTTGCTGGTGACCGAGCACAGGTACTGCAGGATGAACTTGGTGGTCTCGGTCTTGCCGGCACCGCTCTCGCCCGATATCACGCAGGACTGATTGCTCGCGGTGTCCTGCAGGGACTTGTACGCCGCCTCCGCCAGGGCGAACACGTGCGGCTCCAAGGCGCCCATCTTCTGGCCGTGGTATCGATTCACGTACTCCTGCGAAAAGACGTGGAAGACGCCCTTTTTCGGTGAAAACGGGTTCCGGCCGTTAACGAGGTGCCGCGCCGCGCCGCTCCTCTTTTAAGCCGCGACCTCGCGAGAACGGACGGTCTTAAAAGCCTCGCCCGATTCGCGCGAGGCAGCATTCTTGCCGCACGAAAAACGAAAAGTAAACTCGGTCTATTATGTTAGAATGAAGAGATCTTCACGGACGCAGATAAAAGACTAGCGGAACCTCCAAAGAGTCGCGTTAATTCTCACGTTAAAAAATCTTGTGTATAGTACAAGATGATTTTAAAGAAAGATATATTACGTGTTACATGAAGTGTTCACCCTCTCCAAGAAATACAAGATACAATCTTCCGTGAACGTGAAATGTCAACATTTAAGTATTCTTTACCTAAGAAATTCATTAGAAATTCTTTTATATTTTATCTCGAGAGAAATCTCTCCCTCTAAAACAGAACTTATCTAAAAGTCTCAAACAGGACTTGTGTTTGGTAACCATAAAATAAAAACGAAATCTTCCAAAAGATAATATAAATACTCTTTAACTTTCCAATCTTAGTAGAATTTTCTGAACATTCCCTGATTTTCCAGGCAGAAGAAGAATTCTCTAAGAGTGCCAGAGTTTTCAAATTTCTTTTCGTAGGAAGTACTGATGTTAAGACAACATTGCGCATATGTCTTTTGTAAAATTAAATATTATATGTACATAATATACACGATTAATTACATTGATTACATTTGACGTATAAAGTAAAATGTAAATGCTCCTCACTGTAAAAAAATTTTGTAAAATAACTAATATAGTGGGTAATTTGAGACCCACTAATAGTTGTAATTATACAATATAATGGTTGTATTTTTACAAAATTACAGTACGGAAGGAAAAAGTAATTTTGTATTACAATTACACAAATTAAAAATGTGTGGAAATTTACACCTATTATAGTGGGTCTCAAAATTACCTGTAATTTTACACAATTTTTTTACAGTGCTGTTAAGAATTTTTTGTTATATCCTGTCTTTTAGCTCATAGTAAGGAGGGTGTACGTCAGGACCTTCGTGCGTGATAGCGATAATCCGACCGTGGGGGGGGGGGGGGGGGGGGGGGGTCTGAAAATATAAACGCGGGTGTATCGCGTCAACCCCGGTAACCCGATTAATCGGCGACTACATCCGATAGGCGCGTGCAGAGGCGACGATGACCGAGTTCCACCGTGGCCCTCTTCGTTCATCCTTCTCCCCCGGGACGCGGATATAACTATATACATAGGCATAGGCCCCGCAAAACGCCGCCGCTCTCTGCCTGCAGGGCTGTCGCTCTCGGCCGTTAGTCTCACAGCCGAAGTAGTGCAACCCAGTTTCGCGTCGGGCCGCCTCCGACCGTCAGCCAGCGGGAATGTGCCGCGACGCCCGTTAGCGGATGAAATGCACTCGCCTGGAATTGCCGTGCGATAACAAGAAGATACATTGCGCCGGGACAGAACGAACCCACCGAACCGCACGATGACGGGAAGATTATATTTCCAGCGGAAAACCTCGGAAAAAAATCGAGAAAGGACCTGATGAATTATTTCTAGCCGTGGAAATAATATCGCAATTTTCATTCGTTACGACGCGATTTCCCCAGCGCTGCAACTTTCATTTCTTTACGAGAAGTCAATCTTAAAAAGCTGATAACATTATAAAGACCTTCATTAACTGGGTTAAGCTCATCACCCTCGCCACAAAAAAAACAAACATACAGTATACACACAAGAATAAAGTAGACTATAAATTCTTAATTAATTGATTCTGTTAATTACTTCTGAAAACAACATCGTAAATCAAGTCCACTTCTTGGCGATGTAAGCTGAAGTTAATAAAGAATATGTCGAGCTAAAATCGGAACTGAAACACTGAATCAACAACTAAATAACATTTAATTGAGAATAATGGATAATATTTAATGGATAACGTTAACAAGAAATACTATTCATTTATTTAAATGAAATTCAATTTCGATGCATATCTCATCTCGATCTTTTGTGATTAAATTGCTCTAATAAACATATACTATAAACAAATATTCAAATCCAATCTAAATATAGCTTTGATTGGTGTAATAATTTTTAAATTTTTTTCTTGCCTAATTCTTTGTGTGAAAAAATTAGTTAAATCGATGAAATTACATTAAAATTAAAAGCCAAGTTTAATTTGTGCTGCCTTTAATTATTTATATAGGTCAACAACTTTATTTAACAAATTCGCATTCTGCATGTTTGTATTGTTACAGAACGATTTGAGACATCCCAATACAGCCTCAGCAAGTTATTTTGGAAAGAAATTATCTCAAGGTAGATTTTTGTAGAGGATGCCTTGTCCGAGATAAGCCGCGGCGCGGTCGGAAAGCCTTAAGAAAACAAGCTGGGATATAAAAATAAGTGTGAAAGGACGCGTTTCAGGCGACGCCTCCGGAAGTCTCGATACCTCTCGTTGCTTCTTTTTCGAAGAAGTCGACTGCATCCATATACAATAATATATACTTGCCACATTGTGTAATCCTGTTCAATATCGTATCTTCACGTTCCTCTAAACTGCTTAATGTTGGAAGTTTTGAACTTTACAATTTGCTTCTAAGAAAATATTCCAGAAAATGTTTAAATATAAAAAAAATGAGTAAGTTAGTATCGCCAAATATTTAGATACTATTTTTGTATACATTTATCTAGATTGTCTCTTACAAACATTAAGTGTGTCTCCGTCAAAATGTCTGGTTTTACTTTAAATCTTCGTATTCGTTAGTTGCTCATTGTCATTCATAAGTGTAATTCGAATGTACTAAAATAATATCAAGTACATATACGTGATCCGCAATTAAAACTGAATATAAATTACAAATTAAAACTTTGTCATTTACACATTGTGATAAATTAATTTTGCTAACTAATTTTGTCATTCTATTTCTGTAGCAGCATGCACCAATGCCATTAATAAATGACAAAGCAATTTTTTAAGATTAAGTAATTAAAATCTGAAAAATTCTACATCTAAAGTTACGGATCATTTACATTATTTTATTTAAATAAAATTAAAAAGCCTAAAGTAATAATCAAATAAAAAGTCATCATCTTATTCATGATTAATTGCAAATGTTAAATATTTTATCCTCGACGTCCTCGACATTCTCTTGGACGAAAATATTTATTCCGCTATAGTGATCAAGAGCTAATTCCCATTGCTATAACTAGCGTCGCTTTTTTTAATTAATTTAAGCCTGCCGCCGCGTCGTTAACACCGACACCCCGATGGTGGTGCAAAGGGATGTCGATTCCTCGTTCCATTTCGTTAGTGGGTCACGTCCATCGATCAGTATCGTCTGCGAGGGAATTGAACGCGTGTCGTCGTGCTCCGATATAGAAAACTTGCGTTGATGATTTTTCACGCCCCGCTTTCGTTTACGAAAAATCGAACAACGAACAACGGTGGGCGTTAAACCCGAAAGGCGAAATACTATAGCTTGGGCGATTGATTAACAGCGATTTCCGTTTACCTCGGTAGGATCGAAGGAACTGTTTGCGGTCTCCATTTACAAAAGAAATGTTTGCTGTAGATTTGTGATAGGTATCTTCGAGACCCGCGTCTGCGGATGAAACGGGTCGACCCATTTTTGGCGTGTTAGCTTCCTCGATTACCGCAAGTGCTGATTGCTCATTAAATCGATTACCGTGAGGTTTGGAACGTTCGATCTGATTGGAACGTTCGGTCGAAATCCAATTACACGGTTATCCGATATCAAGTAATAGTCGTAAAAAATTGTCAATTATTCCTTCGCGTTTATTATATTATTTTCTGTACGTTGAGAGAATTAAATCGTCGCAGATAATTTTCAATTTCAATAAAAAAAAACAACAAATATCTCTGTGTAGTCTTGCACGGAATGATTGTCTACTGAGTGAATAATAATTCGCGTAATCATATTCCAATCGTGAAATAATTGATCCGATAACCGATGAAAGCTTTCACACAGGTCTTTCGTACTTCCAAGCCATTAATATCGGTAAATATTTGAACAACTTGATTGTGAGTTTACTGTGTAGAAGTAGCAATCATTTACCTCGACAACAATCCGAGTGTATTTGCTTGCTCATCGATCAGATAGAGCGATATTATACGTCGCTAATGTACCTGAGATACAAATATAAGGATGCGATGTCGAAACTGAATTATTCTTAGCTTGGGAAGTGCACAGAAATTGAGCGCAGCGATCTAATTAGCAAGCAAAAGAATTGGATCAGGATGCTATTCCCTTTGTTACTCTTTTAATAAAGAGAATGGCTCAGTTTTTTCTCTTTCTGGCATTTTATTCAATATTGTAAAATAAAATTAAAGTTAATCAAAACAATCTAATACTATTCAATATTTTAAAAAGCTTTATATATATGTGAATTTATAACATCGTTGTTTCGTAATAATTAATTTGGTAATTAATAATTGCAGCACACTTCTATGCCTTCGTCCGTCGATAATTTCAAAAAAGGCTTTCCACGTGGTTACCTTTAAAGATCTGTTTTCTCAAAACGGGGGAGGGGGGCCAGGTTTATTCCCTCGAAGGATTTATCACGAATTTTGTTAACGCAAATGTACGTTTGTAATTTTTCGTAATCGTCGTCACCCTTTGGAAATTCGATCGCGATTCTCGCGCGTTAGATCGTCGCGATCACTCTGCCGAGGATCCAGCGAGAGCCACCCGGCAGAAATGTGCGGAATTGGCGGCCCCGAGGCGACCACGCCGAGTCCCGAATCCGATCCGCATGCTACGGCGCGATCAATAACGCGGGGCGTGCACCACCACGGCGTGCCACCCTCTTCCTTGTATAATCCCGGCAGGAGTCCTCGGTCGGCGGTACCCCAGCTGACCTTCGCAAATCACGCGTGATGTCGTATAGCACGCAAATTTTCACGAGTGCACGGGGATAACGCACCGCGGTCACGTGAGTCTACCCCAACAATCAGTTCCTTTCTTCCTTTCGCACGAATCTGTCCGCGCGTGATTGCTCTAGTGCACGTTAATTGTTCTATTGTTTCGAAAACATTTTGGACACTAAAATAAATTGCCAAAGACGGGCTAATGAAAAAGAATACATCATCGACCTTTTCCCCTGGAAATTTTAGCGCAACTCAGTTTCGAGGAAAACTTTTCTGAACATCGAAAAGGGTAGCACCTCCACGGTGAAAAAAAGCCTCCTGTTCGAAGGATATGTATACTATGAAGGAGGAAATGTGGGGAAAGTGCAAAAAAACGTATAAAGCTTTTGGAAAGCCAGCTCGGTTCCCAAACACGAGACAAAGTAAATTTTATCGCTGCACTCGGGACTCCGGCGGTTCTCACCGTCCAATTCAATTTACGGTCGCAATGCACCGCCGCTCGACGCTTTCCGGGCCGTAAACGCGCCGCTGCACAGAATAATATTTGAAGAATTTCTTTCGAAACTTCGAAGAGGCCTGCCATTTGTTAGCTTAATACTTAGCGAACCTCCTATTTCGTCAAGAAGTATCAAAACTATCACTTGCCGAAAATGAGCTCTTTGCCCAAGTACATTATTCAGAAATAATAATATCAAACACATTTTTTCAGACTTTTAGCAGTTTTTATGTTTTCTTATTCAGAGTAATCGCAGAGTCTCATCGTGTTTCAACTCTACTAAAATATATAAAATTATGGTTTTTAATTTCAATACAACAAAGGATGGAACCCATCATAAACATGAGAAGAACACATCAATATTTTCAAATATCAACGCAAAAACTTTTCAAAACGAAACAAAACTTATCTAATGCCCGTTCTAGACTGGAAGATGAGCCGACTCTCGGCTCATCCGCCTTCTATAGTGTACGTGACATAAACTATACATAAACTATAGATTTTTACCCGTCTACACCACTCACTCGGATGAGCCGAGAGTCGGCTCATCCTCCAGTCTAGAACGGGCATAAAAGTCTAAAAGTCAAATGAAACTTAGATAGTATTTCGGCAAACTAAAAGCAAAGGATAGTTTTGATAAAAATAAACTGAAAATCCAAGGATTTCAGATTTTTTCAAACAGATTCTCTTTATTTCTTAAGTTTTTAATTCAACATAGAAGTTTTAAGAAACATATCTCGCGACAAGGTTCTTTTCCTCCCTCCGATTGCTCGGAGCTGCTGCCGCTACTCGGTACCCAGAAATAATTCACCCCTGATTCGAGACATAACTATTGACGATGAGTCTGCGACGTGCGAGGGAGCGAAGCCGCCGCGCACCACGTGCGCCCGAAAATAGCTGCATCCCGGTGTTAGCGGGAAAGGGAAAACTGCACCGCTCGATTATCGGGAGTGTGTGTGCACTTAGCGTTTCGCCAGATAAACGGTGAACGAGGAGAAATTTATCTGTTTCACCCACCCTCGATCGCAAACGTCGAGCAACAGCTCGTCGCGATAAAGGCCTCGCGATGCATTTCCGCGCGAACGAATCAATCCCCGCGTGTATACATGAGCATCCTAATTGAACTAAAATTGATAACATTATCGTCCTGTCACGTGAAGAAATAAGTCGAGCGTGCTATCGCTCGGAGTTTCGTTTCATCAGCGTGACCCAGAAAAACCGCTGTCGAAGAGCAGCAGTCGCGTTCGTCGGTTTCGCCGAGTTATCTCGAGGCATAAACACGTTGCGGCGGGTTCCGTTTCCTGTTTTCACACCGAGGGCTAACTACGATAAAATACGTATCCTGCCGCGGCGCGTTTTGCGGATTTGTGCGAAGCCGTTCGCGGCAAAACTCGTCCGCCACAAGCACGATAATTTTGCACGAATAATCGTATGCAAATTGCATGTGTGCACATGCGGAAGTGCATCGCCGGGTAGGGTCTGCGCGATGAGAAAAAAAAACTCGCAACTTAGCCAACAATCTAAATACATACTTCAACATAGAGCGTGTCTTCTCATGCATTATTTTTTAACGATAATCTCTCAATTTAAAGGAAATTTTCCCGCAATATTAAAGTATCAAAGTTATATTTTGCGAGCTGTGAGCGATTCGAAGAAAGAATCTGTCAAAAATTCGAGGAGCTGAATTGATCATTACGTTCTTAATTTTAGGTGGAGTCCGATTTTAATATACGATTCTAAGAGAATTTTCCAAGAGAAGAAACCTGGAAAACCTGAATTGAAAAAATATATGCAACTAAATAATGACATTTCTCTATATATATTTCAAATTGATTGATCGCTTAATTAACAATCTACAGTTACAAAAATAATGCACGAGAAGCAAGATATTTTATACAGTTACGTATTTTTTAATTACCTTATTTGCAGATCTTTATAGAATTATTGTCTTTTATAAAAGTGAAGTAAAATGTAAAGATTTTGGAAAATCCTTGCATTGTGCAATAATTCCGTTGAAATAGAGAAGTTTTATTCTTGCGAATAATTCTTATCATCTTAATAATTTTTTCAGGAATTTCTTCCAAGTTCATACGACGTAAAAGATCACAATCACGTTCTGCTCTTTCTAATCTTTAAATTAAATCTAACGCCACATATCGCGCCTGCTTTTTTCTTCGTTGGATATTTGTCAATACGAACAGTTGAATGACCTGAACGCAATTAGTAGTTTTATCGTTAAAGTCCCGACAAAGTAACGAGGTGAAAATTTCATTGGACGCTGCGAAGTTTCGTTGCAGTGCTAACGTTCGCATTATCATACATTTGATACCGCTAAACAGACTGCAGCTCGTTTTCGTAATGCGCGTTGCGGCAAGAGCAGCCGAGCCGCGCGTAAGAAGTGCGTTCGACGAGATGTCGAAAGATCCGCGACAGCAGTTTTAATCTTTCAACGTGGCATGGCGGTATGGGTGACGACGAGAGCGGTTTATCACCGCCCAGAAGATCGACGCGCGTAGCATTCCGCGGCTCTTTTTTTCACCTTGCACCGCACGGGGCGGCGGCATCACGCATTGTGCCTGGATATTTATTATTCCTGGCTGGGCGTTTCCGGTTTTTGTCAGCCGCGCGCAGGAAGCACGGCGTTATTCCGTACACACGAGCGATCTATCGAGCCCACCCTATCGATCACGTCGTGTGCCGATAATGCTCATTGTATCGGATTTGTATACCTCACTCGAATGGAAAACGTTCTTTCTCCGTTCTCGTATTCCGAACCAGCGAGGTGTATACGTATCTCAAGTAAACAATCTCTAAAAACTGCAGAAAGTGTCGCGCATGCATCACGTCGTCCATTTAACTTCTCCTTAGCTTCTCCTCCCAGAGCTTATACGCGCACGCACACGTAATAATATTCTATTCTATAATTCTTGTATATAATATTTAACTTATTAAAATTTTTTGACAATATTTTAATTATAAATATTTAATATTGCAGGTAACAATAATAATTAATTATAATTAATATGATATTACAGATAACAATAATAATTAATTATAAACATATTCTAGTTTGAATAAAATTTAATATATTTTAGATTGCTTTCAATAGCCAATGATATGAAACGACATTAGGAATAATACACGCAAAAATAATATAATTAAAACGCCAATAATGATAGGAGCTTTAAAAAAATGTCAAATTTTTGTTTTTCTCGCCCTTTCCTTCGCGCTCTCAGCTATATACGATTTCGCAAATAAATTACTCACATTCGTGTAGAAGTCCACTTCTTTGTAAGGATTCACAGCCACCAGTATGGATCCCGTGTACGTCTGTGGTAACGTCTGCGTTAAGGAATATAATAACTCGAATAGCACTTAATAAATATAAATATTCATATTGCCGATCTGCGTTGAATATTAATAACGTTATATCACTTGTTCAGCGGGGAAAGTACATGACATTTTTCTGCCGCTGATATTTTTCCGCGTTCATAGCCACGATGCGCCGCCCCTCGCATCACAATGCATACAAGTGCATATAAGTGGGCGATAAATGAAGAGACAGAGGCGCGAATCGGGCTAAAAACGCGTGACCTTTTTAACGTTCGCTCCAGTCGCGATATCACGCTCGCGATTCCGAGCAAACTCTATTTTATGGAGCGCGAACGGGAAGTTGCGCCAATCCGTTTTTACTGCTCGCCCTATAAAAGAGAGAAAACTCTCGCTCGAAGGCGAATGAAGCGTGTAACGCCGTATCTATTTACCGAGTTCAGGCATGCACTTTCTCTCTATATAATATTCCTTGAATAATTTGAAGATGATATTCTTTCAGCGGTTATTTCAGTGCAGTCTGACAATTTTCATATTTCCAAATCTCAAATAACTCGGAATTTTCCTTGAAAATCCGCTTGAAATTCCACGGTTCTAATAATTTCATCTAATTTCACTTTTGATCTCTTATTATTAGATCGGGTCAATGTTTCGACGCTTTCGTTAAAAAAACATGAAATTTGAGTTGATTAAACTGTCAAAATTCAACGATCTATTTTACAACCATTCACATGTGATATGAATTGCAATAAAACCGTTCTTATTATATAGAAAAATAATAACGGGCTATAAGATAGGTTTGGAATTGCGTCGCGCGGCTTCAGGATCGAGAATATCAGCAAAGAAATCTCCAGAGAGATAGAGCGCAGAGCTCTGCCGTAAGCTCGATCCCTTGCATAATAACTCGAGGATGACATGCTTTCGCCGAGGGAGAGAGCTCAGTAATGACGTCACGCTCGGGGGCGACCTATAGGGGGTATGACTCATGGCTGAATGCCACACCGTTAGCGAAAAGGGGGCCAGTACACCTATAACCGTACCACCCTTCGGCAACATTTGAGACGAGTTAGGGTGCTGATCTACGCCCGAAAGTTCGAAACTCGTTCTGGCTCGATGGTAGGGTGATTATTGTACTCCCTCTCCTGCGGGTTACCATTTAAAAAATGTTCAGCATTTATAAATCAAACAAATAATTAAATCCATATTTCCAAAACTATCTAAAAATATCTATAAAAAATATCTTTTTCTATAGTGAAGAATTATTTCTAAAGTTACAATGATGAATTGGAGACAAAAAGAGAATTACATAAGAATAAAAAATCTGATGTGTGATTTGAAAAAGTTATACACTGAATATTATAATTTTATTGATAATACTAATTATTATTATTGTTGAGATCAGTTATCCCTCTCTATGTATAGAGTTAAAATAGTGAAGACTATATCTCTCCTTTCATGCTGCTTTCTTTTCTTCTTCGTACAACTTAAGTGTTTCGTATATATAAGACAGTTTGCTTGCTTACTTTTTTATACTTTGTGTTTATACTTCATTTATATTACGTGCACCTCGTTCTTTATTTTAGAACAAGACTGAACACGTATATTATCAACGCGCGTTCGCGTATAGAGGCTATCAACCCTTGTGGTGATTACATAGTTTCCAGCTAGAGCCTCCGGTCGAAAAGCTCTATCAAAACCCCATCATTACCGACAGGGGCTTAACAATTTAATTAACCCCTTGAATAACCGCGTCTCGCGTCGCCCATAGGTAGCTTCTTGGTTTACGCTCTCGCCGCGCGCCGTAATAAAATCAAGCTTAATTACAAACGGCCTGTCCATCTGCCGAGAAGCTTATACGTAGCGGACAAAGAGTGGAACGATAGCTCCGTTTTTTCGCGTCGCAACAATTTCTAACTCTCCAATTAATTTCAACAAGGAAATTTTGATCAGAACTCTTAATTCTTTCCCGCGATATTGCTGTCGTATCCCGAAACTATGCAGCGTTGTAATTAACTTCTGCCATACTTCAATACGCGTTATCTGCGGATCACGGAATATTCCGCGTTTTCCGGAGTACTCCGTGCTCTCGGAACTCCGGTTATTAATATGCCGGCGCATGCAGATAATCATCCAAATCGAAATATTCAACCCGGAATATTCCGTAAACCGTGAATCGTCGGAGCTAAAAATCTAGAACATTTTGTGACCCGTAAATAACGTGTTTCTAACGAGATACGCGATCGAAATCTGCAAACCGACAAGTATCATCGAAGAGAAAGAGAGAATCCGAGATAACGCTCTGTTAAACATAGAGAAGGCATCTTTTACTTCCGATTTTTTCGATATGTTACATGCAAAAAATATATGTGATTATCATATAATTTCGGGGTTAGATATATTTTATTTGTAATATTATTAAACGGATACAAATGCACATCGTATTTGTTATAAATAATGTTTTTAATGAAATTATATCAAAGTCAAAGTATAATAGAATCATCGCCAGTACAGCTTCAATATCCTTTGTCCACTTAAAAAATCATTTTTTAACTACCTTTTTTAAAAAATTCCGGATATTTCAATTTAAATCAACGTAGGTAATTGTTAATAGCAAACGTGACAAACTTTTTGTCATGGAAATGACTTTTATAAAAATCAAAATATTAAGAAAGCTATTACTTTCATATCTAAATTTACATATTATTTTTACGAAAACACCTCGACTGAACATAAAGCAACAAAGAGAATAACATAACATAAGCTTGAATGGCAAATTCCTTCAATCGAATCATTTGAATGAGAAGGTTTATTCGAACGGTTTCTCTCTTCTCTCTGAATGGTCCTTTCAATTTGGGGGCAAAACGAACGATTAAGCGATTTGAGGCAATAATAGCTGCGGGGTGACGGGTCTGGCTAGAGGGTGGGATGTCGGTTGCATTTTAATTTAGCCGAGCGTGCAAGATCAGAGAGTGGGGCTCGAGAGTGCAGCTTCGTCGATGAACCGGATGTCGTATACGTTCCTTTGCGCGTGTTTTTTTCCACGTGCGCCTCGGCCCTCTCCTCCCCGCGTTCGCGCGCAAACACAGATGCCCGCATGTGTGAAGGGGGTAGCTCGCTCTCATTAACCTCTCGCGCTGGCGGAGCGCCCTTAGCCGACTTGAATTGCACTCGTCGCGGGGGACGGAAACGGGACGGAGAAAAACGGACGGGACGATCTCTCGTGTGCGCCTCTATTACCGGGAATACGGGAGAGAGTAGAGAAAAAGAGAGAAAAAAAAAACAAGAGACACACGGCGACGAGAGCGGGAGGGTGAATGTCTAGGGGATCGCGAGAGAGTTCATCGATGCGAGAAAATTAGGCCACTCGCTCTGGAAAGGGTTAAGTTGCCTGGAAGTTGCCGGGAAAGCTGAGCGGTAAGAAAAGCGTTTAATTATCACACACGGTGGATGACTGAATGATTTCGGTCGTTGGTTTCTTGACCCCTTATCCGAGCGACCTACTTTTGCGACGAGAAAACGGAATTCACATATCCGTTGCTATATACTGTGACATTTTTGAATATATTAACAGGCTCTTAATTTATCACTTCCTGCCTCTGTAAAATAATTAATATACCGTATCGATAATAAGTAATGACGCGCTGGGTCAATTTTTTTTTAGAAGTTCGATCTATGCTCTCATGTTTTTCTTTAATTTACGAATATTTTCGTATAATATTTATAAATTCTAAATAACACATTTTTATCAATTTTTATTGAATTTCGAAATTTATTACAAGTATAATGATTTTTTAATTGATATCTAATATTTTTCATATTTTTTATGTAGTCGAGTGGCGGAATTTCATGATACAATTTTAGTGAATTAAATTTCTATTTTAAAATAAATAAACAATAATATTAAAATAAACGACATTAGCAAATATCAATAAGAAAACTGCAAATTCACGTGATTTTTGTTCACGACTCAGGCTGCGTCCCGATATTTACTGCCAGTACTGAAAATCTATAGTTTACGTTACGTCAGTTACGTGCGCTATAGATCTTCAGATACTGGCAATGAATATCGGAACGCAGCCTGAACGTGTAGTTTCGAACGCGCTTGATGCCTACAGCAAGAGCTGTCTTTACCAGCTGCGAATCTCGTTTGCGCCCGCGACAGCGGCCCGGCGATAAGAAGTGCTCGGTGACGAGGATTCGAAAAGGCCGAGGGATCCCGAACGACCGCTTTACGAGACGTTTAATTTTTCGATTACGTCAGGCGGCAAAAAGTGAGCGTCGACATGTGTATACATGTGTGTAGTGGTAA